ACAAATCATTCCTTGGCCACACAAGTGGCCCACAACTGATACAAATTGAGCCGATCTACTGATTTGCTGTAGAGATGCCAAAACATATCTGGATGGCGTTTTCCCAAGGTAGTAAATCTATTTTCTGTATGAATGTAATGCTATAAAAATCATTGCTTGTAAGTGTACCTTAAAATAGCTGTATATTTCAGCATCAATACATATGTTCACAACCCTCGCTACCACCCACAAGAGAATGATCTATAGCACTGGAAGGTTATTTATTTACTCTCTACTCTTCATAACATAAAACACGCTGCAACTCCATTGCTTATTCCTCTTACTTGTACATTAAAAATTATACTGCCGAACGTTGTTCGAACTTTGCTCTATTTCGCTAAAATATTTGCTATACACAAAATATAATTGCAAATGTTGGAAACAGACTGGCCATTTGTTGTACTCGAACATGTGAAGACAATAAAGATAAACAGCACCTGGAATTTATGATAGCTGTTTATAATATCATTTAGCCTTATAGGAGACCAATGATCATGACAGTCGTTATTGTTTATTGATTCAATTTTCAATAAAGATAACGACCAAGATAAGCAGAGAGCACAAATACCTCTGGGCTAGGGATTCATTGTGTTTTTTTTCACACCGGATTTAATGCCCAACTAGGGGGAGAAATAAAGTTTACTTTTAATAGTAATAAACATAATCTTTCATTTGATGTAACACCTTATCATATGGAAATGTCTCAAAGCACTTCACAGAGTTTTCAGTAAAGTGCATTGACTGTATTTGTTTGCGACTACAGCAGACAATTTGGGCACCACAATATCCCACAACAGCCAAGAGGTGAATAACCAAATTAAATAGAGGAATGTTAACAGGACATCTGGAGAAAACTACTTTCTCTTTTGGAATAGTCGCATGGGTGCTTCCAGGGTTTCCAAGTGTCAACCTGGACAAGCGATTCTCAAATAAAAATTTTTGGTGGCCTCAAATGTCCACTGACATTTACTGGTGGCCACAGTGGGACTTTTTGTAATCCGCATCACTTCCCCCTTCTCAAACCAGCCAGTGTGTGGGGGGTGATGACGAGGGAGGGAGAGAGCACCAAGCTGTCTGACTGGTCATTCTCCTGGCGCTCCCTGAAACCAGTCTGCTGCCCGTCTACAGCAGTGGGCCCACCGCACACAAACTACAAGAACCAGCATGTGCTACACTACACACACGCTCACACATTCTACCTCCCCATCCCCCACTCACCACTGAATACTTAGAAGAACATTTTGATACAACCCCGTATCTGTTATTAGGGAAGGATCATTAGAGCACTGTCTATCTATAACCCTCCATATCACTAAGATATCTGCTACATTCAGAAATGTAACATGTCTATCGGAAGTAATAGTAGAAAGGCACATACAAGATAAACAATATTTCCATGTATATTAGGGAGTTACTGCTCACAGTTCTGAGAAGCATTACTATCCCTGTTTTACTCTTACTTTCCAGTTATCGTATTCATCAAATGCTAATTTGACAATTGGTATTAATATTTAAACAATGTTATCTCATATTGATTAACTATTGTACTTTGTCTGCTGTGTTGATATTTCAACAGTAGTTAGTGGTTTTTGATAGAGGTGGATTATGTGTTTATTCATTCCAAGGAACATATAGCACCCTCTACGCATAGTGGCGTCTAACAGTGGCGGAGCCTGACTCTGAGCCAGGTGGGGTGGGGGGGGAGGTGACTGTAAGCAAGGTCGAAAAGGAAGGTTTTCAGGCAGGACTTGAAAACGGGGAGAGAGGGGGTGGGGGCAAGGCGGGGGGATTGAGGGAGAGTGTTCCAGAGTTTTGGGGTGTAGTGGCTCAATGCGCAACCTCTAATGGTGGAGCGGAGGGCATGAAGGACAAGCAGGAGGCAGGTGCCAGTCCAGCAGAGGCTCCAGGTAGTGGATTGGGAGTGAGGAGAAGTAGGGAGGTGCCAGGGACTGAAGGGATTTGGACACAAGTGTGAGGATCTTGAAGGCGATCCGTTCGGTGATGGGAAGCCCGTGGATCCTGGCCGGAATTGGTGAGATAGGGGTATAGAGTTTAGTCCGGGTCAGTATGTAGGCAGCAGAGTTCCCAATGAGCTGGATTTTTTGACAAGTGGAGCTGGGGAAACCAGGGAGGAGATACAAAGTTAATGTCCACCAGATAAAATAAAATACAATACAACTTGCATTTATTTATATAGCTCCTTTCACATCGGGAAGGCGACTCAAAGCACAAAATGATGTTTCTACAAGTTATTGGTGCTATCGCTCACAAAAATCTCATCAGAGAATATAACATTTGCTCTTGTATGCCAGAGGGGGGGGGGGGGGGGGGGGGGGGCAAACAACTTCAGATACATCATAACAATTCTCCCATTTGCTACAGCCCTTGATCAAGTCATCTAAAACACGTCAACGTGCGTCAAACGATTTGCTGTAAAATGTAGTGACTAGTCTGTTTGCAGGCGAATATAAGTTATGTACTGCGAAAACGACAGTACGAGAAGAATAAGGAAGGCTGCAGATACAGAAATGATCAGCTCAGCAGCTTGGGCTAACTTCCAGTTGAACTGAAAGAGTTTCAATTATATTGGATTCCGCTAACTGTACGAGCTATTTTGCGTGAGACACTGCACACGGTGACTTGCATCAGCAGTTCTTTTTATTGTGCCTCCCCCCCCCACCTCCCTCCTCAGAGCAGAAGGATTGGGTCTTCTTGTATAACGTTGTTTTAGGTTATATATAAGGGGTTGCTTGAGTATGAACACGCTTTTAAAATATTGCATAAACAACTGACTGGTTTGGTGGAGTGGCGCCAGTGATTCATGAATGAGTCAATTACACAAAGACGCCTGAATTGTATGCAGTGCACTGCTGTGGGGATAAGGTGGGGTGATGGGGGGGGGGGGGTGGGGTGGGGGGTATTACTGTTAAAAATCATGAGTTATTTGGGGCTTTTTTTTTAAAAAGAGAGAAAATAGCTGTCGATCGACCCACTCGGGGCATTGCAACTTGCAATGCAATGCAACACCCGGCGGTGCAGTTGGTGTGATTTATTTCACATACTCGCTGCTCGGCGCTCTCTCCCGACTCAGCTCCGTTACCTGTCATCAGCTGTGGAAACGCAGGAAGGGATCGCCCGCATCTACTGCGTCTCCACCCATCCCAACCCCCGGATCAGAGCGGGACACTGAGCGCCTTTTGACGGGGGTCTCCGAGAGGGCGTGAAGCGGAGTCGTGGAACCCAAAAGAGCAATCGCAGCAACTCCCCAACTATTCCCTCCTCCTCCTCCTCCTCGTGTTGCAACTTACGTCGGTCGATTCGTTTCGATGACTCCAGTGAGTTGTGTTCGCCTGTGCGTGTGCGTGTGCGTTGTCCGCGTGTTTTCGACCGGGGTCACGAATTGCAACCAGCGTGAATTATAAATAATGCAGTGGCTGCAACTGCTGTGTTGTGACGAGATGGGGTGGGGGTGGTGGGGGGTGAGGATGGTGGGGGGGGTGGGGTGGGGTGGGGTGGGGGTAGTTTGTTTCACGTGCCAATTGAGCAACAAAAATAAATCCGGTGCAAATGGAAAAAAAATCACCAGTAAAACAGGAACGCGGAATGATCAGCAACAACTGGTTGCGGGGGACACGCGAGCTCTCAGGGTTTGGTGACCTGCAGCACAGTCGCTGAAACCTGACTCCCTATTTCTTTCCCTTTTTTTAAAAAAAAACGCTGTGATTGATATTCAAAGGCAGGGGCAGCACTTGTCAGTTTTGCACTATAACTCTGCCTTCTCCCCCCCCTACCCCCCCTCCCCCCCCCCGCCCCGCCACGTTAACACTAATAAACAGTAAGTTGCATTATTATTACTTTTGGGGGGGAGGAGGGGATGGTGGAAAGAGAGAGGGAAAAAAAATGTCAATGTCTGCCCAAATGATTGTGTGGTTAAATCTGGTAGCAATCCTGACCAAGGGTGGTGGTGGTGGGGGGGGGGTCATACACAAAATAGACTGCTACATTCAGTGACAGCGTTACGATAAATCGGGCAAACATTTAAAACACATACCCCATCCCCACCCCCAAAAAAATCATTCCTCGTTTACGTGGCACTGTTTTATAACAACTTCTGTAATGTAACTTGTAACGTGTATTTTTCTCTCACTCTGTCACACACACACACACACTGACACACACAGACACTGACACACACAGACACAGACACACACACACACACTGACACACACACACACACACTGACACACACAGACACACACACACACACTGACACACACACACACACACACACACACTGACACACACACTGACACACACACACAGACACACACTGACACACACACACAGACACACACTGACACACACACACACACTGACACACACACACACTGACACACAGACACACACACACATACACACACTGACACACACACACACACATTGACACACACACACACTGACACACACACACACACTGACACACACACACACACGCATTGGATGCGACCTGTATTGATGTTTCACTTCAAAAGTTAAAGATATCAATTGTTTCGATCGCAAATCCGATCCGCTGTTAAACAGAGCAGCCAAAGCTCATCAAACCAGGGGTGGTGAGGACATACTGTTTTGATGCTGTACTCCAACCGGGCGCAGGAATAATATCCTTCGATCCCAAGCAAAACTAGTCGCGAAGTCTTTTATTTTTAAAAAAACAAACATTATTATTAATCCGTGCAGGCTGAATTACAGTCCCATCTTTACAAGTCATTTGCAAAACTCGAGCAGTGCCGGGCGGGTTGCATTTCAAAGAGAGAAAAGAGGGAGAGAAGGAGAGAAAGAGAGAGAGAGAGAGAGAGAGAGAGTTCAGCACGCGAGTGAAATCCATACTCCAGAGAATTTTGCAACCCCCCCCCTCCACCACCACCACCAAAAAAAAAAGTTGCTTAAAAAAATATCGCCACAGGCATCGACTATGTAAATATTTATGTTACTGTGTCATTCGCGTAAACCTTACAAGGGTTGCTCGTGATCTTATATTTCTCTTTAAAGCACCCGGAGATATATAGACTGCATCCATAGGTTTTATATAGCGGTCCGCCTTTTGACTGACGCGACCCTGCAATGCAAACACACAGATGTCTTAACAAAAGAGAGACAACAAAAGGCAGAGCATTCGTTTCTTTTTCTTCATTCTTCTTCTAAACAACGTGGAAGCATATGCTTGCACCATGTCTATGTATATATATATAGAGAGAGATATATATAAAAAATAAATGCATTCGATGCATTCGATAATAGCGCTGTGTTCCTATCTAGTTTGGTCTCGTCGGGGAAACCCAAGGGGTCTGTTGTGATCCAGGTCAATGTTAATTAGCAAACTGCAGCCTTTAACCCTTCGCTTTAAATTGTGAGGAAACGAGTCAATAAGCAAGAGATTTAAAGGTCACCGTGGCAGGAGGAGAGAGAGAGAGAGAGAGAGTGTGTGTGTGTGTATGTGCTGACATCCAACCACCAATGCCGCCGTTTTTTTTCACGAAATTGAATATGAAAGCTACTGAAATGAAATTTCACGTACCCCAGTCCTCAGGCATCGCCACACGTGCTGTAGCTGCAACTCCTCCATATAAAAGCAATCGTCCCTCGGCCCTGTGCAATTGCTCTTTCAAACCAATCGTACCAATCCCCGGATGGTTTTTTTTTGGTTCCCACTCTTCAAATGCTTTCATTTAGATTCTCTTCCAGAAACAAAAAAAAACACATTTTTTTCTGTGCGTGCAGTTGAATAAACCGGCGCCTCGAGTGCTTTTTTTTTTTGGTTGTTGTTAAAACTGCACTGCAACATCCGTCGTAAGCGAAATGATTCACACAAAGCCTTCTTTTTTTCTCACTATGGTTCACAAGAAGTTAAGCAAAATATGCTTTCTCAAACAGACTGGTGAGCGACTGCTCGAGGAGCATCTGTGTGCTGAAGGCTTCCGCGTTCGTAGAGAAATATGCCAGGATTTCTGAACTGTACTAACAATTGGACAATATTGGGTTTATTGTGCAGCTTATCAGATTCAAGCCGAGAAATGAATGAACTTTCGCCGCCAATAACAGTAATCCTTGCATCATCATCGAACTCATCCAGGATTTCCCCCCACATTTCAAATTGTTTGTGATCGCTTGTGAATCATTTCGCTTACAATACTTGTGTGCATCGTGTGTGTGTGTGTGGGGGGGGGAGGGGGAGGGGGGGGGAGTTGGTAATAAAGTGCGAGTTTTTTTTTGTTTTTATGTTTATTTTCTGGTGGTCGGGTTAAGATCTCACACTGGAACGAGTGACTATCCCATAACCCGCTTCTTGCCATTACACGAACCACGTCTAAAATAAACCCATGAATCCCATTCTCCTAATTTGATAACGTTCACAAATGCCCCTAATCCTTTTTTGGGGGGTTCGTGAGGTTTACTGTCTGTAAACCGAAGCCAATTGCAAAATTGACCTGTTTTACCGACTGCAATCTGGACTTCTTCTCCTCGTTAATCATTTCTTCTCGCAATTTGATCGAAAGTACACGTGCAATGAACTAAAAAAAAATCACGGGTTCTGGTAAAAATATTCAATCATTCCCCTCGACACGAATATATTGGTGTTTCTCTTGTTTCTCTTTGCATCGTTTAGAAAGTATAATGGAGTTGGTTACTGTGGGACTCTGCAGAGCTGACTCTGGGATTGTTGTATTTGAAGAAGTCACTTTGTTCCCATATTCACATTTAAGGGTTGTCAGGAATAATTGTTGGAACTGAGACCCAGCCGCTGGAAGGTTACAAAATATGTGCTCAAATATAAGCGACCCCCCACATCATTCCTGTTTCTCTTTTCCAGGAAAATGCAGCCTTGTGAGAGAAGCGGGGCTGCTGCACCCTGCGACCGTTTTCTGTTTTTTTATTTATAGAAAGAAGCTGTTGCTATGCACTGATCAGAAAACAAATGGATCTGAAACCAGCAAGCTGCTCAATGTCTGGTGTGTGTATGTGTGTGGTGTGTGTATGTGTGTGGAGGGAGGGAGGGAGAACCTAACTGAATTTCTGGGACTACAGATGAAACGTTTCTTTTACATCCTTAAAAGCAACCGGCACTTAAAATTGTACTCTCCAACACAACCGTGAAAAGAGCTTACTCACGTTTCTCCCCATCTCGAAAAAAAACACAGTGGGATCGAACTGGATTCTTAGTGACTAGAAAGAGACTGTCTCGAAGGTGACTTACTGCCAATTGATCTCCGCGTTTCAGCCTCTTGGTCCAGCTTCTCCGAGTCGCTGCCTGGACTGGTCAGCAGATCATGTGTTTCACAGCAGATTGCACTGAACGCTTCGATGTGGATTGGGGATGTGGATTGGGGATGTGGATTGGGAAGCAGATCCCAGACACCCATTGTTTGTTCTCACCGAGATCGCCTCCTTTTGCGAAGAGCATCCTTCGAGCCTCGATAATTTACTCACCACCGAAAAGGGGGGGGGAACTCTCTTTTTTTAAAAAAACACTGCCTTTTGCGACACTCGCTACTCACTCACTCCCTCGCTCACTCCCTCCCTCACTCACTCACTCACTCACTCCCTCACTCCTCCCTCCCTCACTCACTCACTCACTCATTCACTCACTCACTCACGCACGCACGCACTCCCTCCCTCCCTCCCTCCCTCCCTCCCTCCCTCACTCACTCACTCACTCTCTCCCTCCCTCCCTCCCTCCCTCCCTCTCTCCCTCCCTCCCTCCCTCAGGGGGCCCTTCCAGCTCAACAGAATGGCGGAAATAACCCGCTGCATAATAGTCGGTCAAATACGTGGGTCGCCGCAGAGATCGCAGCGCACACAGCGCACACAGTTCTTGCCACACAGTGATGATGCGGCGATGTCTGGATTCATTCCGTTCAAAACCCATCCGGATCAGAGCTCTGTGCCCCGCGGCGGCACAGGGGCTTTAAACCCGGGACAAATCTCGACTTTTCGGAGCCGTTGTTCATTCGTAATGTTTACCTGTAATGGTTCGCGCAGTTTCGGAAAGAGGTGCGGGACTTGGAAACAGCGGTGAATCCGGCTGTGCTGACTTATTTTTTTTTTTGGGGCTTAATGTGGGAATTTGGTAAGTTGCTGTGTACGGAATTGCAGACTTTGTGCGATCACTTCTCAAAAGGAGCGATTGGGCGCAATTTTTTTTTTGGGGGGGAGGAAGGGGGGGACTGGAATTCCTCGTCGCGGGCAGACAAAAGAATCCAGTGATATCTTCCCTGAAATATTTTAGCCACGGTCCGTAAATCTTCTTCGCAGAAGAGCAGCGGTTATTAAGCGACGCTTTTTATTTAACATAAAGGTGGAGAATAAAGAAGAGAACAGTTCGAACCGCTCGGGGTCGAGAAACGCAAACCACCCGTTTAAAATCCACAACATTACAATTAAGAGGGGGGCAAAAAAAAAAAGTTACCCAACACCGACCTTCAATCCCACTCGGACTCGTGCATTCGTTTGCGCGATGGATGGGGACCCACAAAGCGAATTGGCGCCGAAGGGGGAAAAAAAGATAGAAATAGATTTTTTTTTTTTCCCCCCCCCACACCGAGTGGCTCTTCTTCTGCGCTTTTTTTTTTCTTCTCGCGGCTCTATCGGATTCGTGTGGGTTTGGGCTGAGTTCAGACAGACCCCTCCGATGCCGCAGCGGAGCAGTCAGACCGGACACTTTGCCCCCAAACACTGCTCATTTGGCACTCAACGCGCCTTTGGTTCCTCGCAGCACTGGAGCACTCTTGAGTGTGCGGGGAACTGGGTGGCGAGAGTGCGGCTCCCACTGCCCCCTCCCTCACTCACTCACTCACTCACTCACTCACTCCCTTCCTCACTCACTCACTCCCTCACTCACTCACTCACTCACTCACTCACTCCCACCCTCACTCACTCACTCACTCACTCCCTCACTCCCTCCCTCACTCCCTTCCTCACTCACTCACTCCCTCACTCACTCACTCCCTCACTCACTCACTCCCTCACTCACTCACTCCCTCCCTCACTCACTCACTCCCTCCCTCACTCACTCCCTCCCTCCCTCCCTCCCTCACTCACTCACTCACTTCCTCACTCACTCACTCCCTCCCTCACTCACTCACTCCCTCCCTCCCTCACTCACTCACTCACTCACTCACTCCCTCACTCACTCCCTCACTCCCTCACTCACTCACTCCCTCCCTCACTCACTCACTCACTCACTCCCTTCCTTCCTCACTCACTCCCTCACTCACTCACTCCCTCCCTCCCTCCCTCACTCTCCTCTGGCCGCTGACTGACTGCCATTTTGCTCTGCTGGCTCCTAAGTTTTGTTTATGATTAATAAGCGGCTGGTGCTCTCTCAGACAGATGCAAAACGTTCAATCCGGCCGTTTGCTCGGCGACTCGATCTCCAGGCAGTGTGGAACGAACTGCCTTGTCTGTCTGTTTGATGCCACTTCATAAAACACCCGCTGACTCCTTTTTTTTTGAACTGAAAAGTGTTGCATAATCTCCCCTCGGGCTTTCCATAGCAAACAACTCCCAATCCACAAAACTGTCTGCCACAGTGCCAGAGGAAAACTGAAAGCTACTTTTTTTCCCCCTCTTTCTCTCTCTCTATCGTGCCTTTGTTTTACTCCAGTTAATGTCACTGAGCTCTTGGAGGTTAATGCAAAATCTTCCATAAAACGCTGAAATCATCTTTGATCTTGGTTTTAAGTGGCACCATATATAAAAAAAATTACCTATCGAAGGCCGGACAAAGGTTTACTGTCTGAATGCAAACTTTAAAACAAAGCTTTATTTTTTTTTCGCGAAAAAAAAAGGAACTTTCATTTGCCATTATCTTTTTCGTAACAGTTTCTCGCGTAACGTTAGTAAAGTCTACTTAAAAGAAATGTGTCATTGCTGTTGTGAACAGTTGTGCTTTATTTAACAAATAAAATCTTGCTTATTGTCCCGTTTTGCTTCGTGTTCCAGCCTCCAGTCAGGCCATGTGACTTTATACTACTGTATAATTTATCTTCATTTGCACTCTCATTATGGACTTCTACACGACATAATCCTGTATGATTAATGTGCAAACAGGCCTCACACGGGAGAATGCTAGATCAACATTATTAATAACCAAACACAAACTGTCTGACCTTTAATAAGGTAACATAAACCTAATAAAGTCATCGAAAGATGCAAAGCGACCTTTGAACCTGTGCTATTCTAATGCAAAATTATTCGAAATAGAGAGAAATTATGTCATCGAATCTTGATCTAATATAATTTATGTTCAACATCTTGAACGCAGATCAATACTTATGAGAATGATGGTGTTTTATCCTACCCTGTTTGTGTTCGCCTTTTCACCATTACTCAATCATGACCCATACAGTGTTTAACTAAACTGCAATAATTAGCTTGTAATCTATGTTTGCTTTTCGTTTATATACAACGGCGTGTTGGAATGAATTGATTTATTTTATAGTACAGCAATATATGTAAAACAAATCTGAAGAGTGTTCTGGAACAGATTGTGGCCATGTTTCTGGTTTACCGTTGAACGCATATGTGTGTGTTCCCTCTTGGAAGTCACTGCTATATTATCAGTTTTGAAGTGTTAATACTCCGCGCTATAAGTAATTAGTGACACTCTGTGAGAGCCTTTCACTGATAGAATGGGGTTCTGTGGATGCTACCAATGAAGAAGTTATTTGTTAGACCAACTAAAGACTTGAATGCAGAAAAGAAACAGCGCTATTCGACAAAATGGGTTTGCGATCTAGTGCCTACACCCAGGAAAACACACTGTTTCGTTTTTTTCTTCTGACGAAAAAAAAGAAACTCGTAATGCCGTACCAAATTTTATACACAGGATAAATTGTACATTTTTTGGAACATCATTGCATCTTACTACCGAGGTACTAGTCTTAAAACTGATATCCACACAGACTTTTAATAATAATAATAATTAATAATAATAGACACTGTTAGAAACATACAAGTGTTGCAGTTAGTATATACATTCCCTCGCTTTTAAGCGGAAATATTCCTTCAAGCTTCCGCGTGACATGCTTTTATTTTTTTAAATGTAACTTCAAAAACACTGGCGTGATATTACTAACAATTGCTTTTATAAAATTAATTTTGACATTTCGATATATACACATCCTTTCCGTCAAACATTTCCTTTATTGTCACAGCGCTGAACTTAAAAAATAACAAGCTTATAGTGTTACTAAAGGTAATATCCAGTCAAATAATCAGTATATTTCATTTTGCGGCCATACGTCCCTTTATCTGATGAAAAGTTCTTGTAAATAGGGTGTCAAGGGAGGAAATAACACTTGCACTTTTTTTCCTTAAATTAGAAAGACGATTCTGTCGTGTTTAGCTATACAGATTCAGTGGTTTTGTCTGTAGAGCCCATTATATTTTAAGTTATTTCTTGGAGCCCATCAGTCTGATGAGTTTTATCTTATGTCTCACACAGGTCTGTCTACAGCATACTGGCATGCACTCAAGTTAGACGCTGGGTTTTGAACACTGGCATATCCGAAACTTGAATGCTGCTTGGCCTTGAGTCTAAGGCTGGCGAGGCTTGAATTGCATGTGTCTCTGTACACGTAAGGAGGAGTCGGTGGAGCATAGGGGCAAGCTGCTGTCGGGACGGCTGAGTTTAGAGACGGGTTGCTCAGGTTGTTCAAGTTGTTGAGGCTGTTGAGGCTGGAACCTGGCACCCCGGTCACCGAAGAGGGAACCATGCTGGACGACATGCTCATGGAGGAGATGGAATTGGAAGGAGAGAACATAGCCTGAGAGGACAAGGGATTGACGTTCATGGAGTTGAAGAAAGGGAAGCTTTTAGTAGAGAGCGAGGCCGATGTCAAGCCTTTAGCCGCCCAGTTGTTGTAGGTGTAACCTGGATACACGTCGTCATAGGGTTGCATCAGACCATTAAACTGAGGTCCAAAGCCATTTTTGCAAAGCTCGGCTTGCTGGTTTCGCTCCCGCTTCCTCCACTTGGCTCTGCGGTTTTTAAACCAAACCTACAGGGGGAATAGAAATATTTTGTTTTGAAAAACCTTTATTTTTTTAACAGAATGAACAGTGGGCATCGCAAGTCTAAACCATCTTGCGTATTTAAATCACAGAATGTCAGTGATATTAATATCACATGAAAAGACACAACTATCGTTTTGGTAACAAACAAAGGTGAGACCGTATAGTTTTTTTTCATAAACGGGAACCGCAACATATAAATTATATATATCCACATAAAATATAAATATCTTACCACGGATGAATACAAGAGAAAAAAAAACTATGATGAGGTTAAGAAGAAAACAGAGGAATGCATCCAAACAAGGCATACGTTTAATTTTCAATAGCATATTTCAGCTCAAAACAACGAGTGCAGCTCAGAATAAACACAAGAAACCAATGCCTTTAACACGCCGCTCCTCCACATGATATGCGGAGAAGCGCTTGACATTTCTTTTAAGATTCATAGTTAGGAAGCAGTCATGTAATGTTGGAAGTGTACTGACAGCTCTCAAAAACACTGCGATTCCGAAGCAAAAGGGAAATTCGAAGCGCGTCCACAGTCGCATTCAATTATTTGGTTAGGACATATTCAATTTTGTTCTATTTGTTTTGGGTTTTGTTTATAGCCGTGTGAAAGGCAAGTCAAATAATACGTTCCGGATAATACCCACGCAGCGAATGGAAGGAATACTACCATTTAATTAAATAAAAATGCCTTCAGGTGGTTCAATAAATCAGAGAACAGGGCTAAAAGTTTGAGAATGCCAGTAGGAGTGTTTGTGATCGTTGTGATTGATATCTACCAAAGCTCCGAGCCCCCACATTGTACGAGTTATCTGGCATCAATGTTAGTAAGGTTTGACCCAATGTCCGATTAATAATTTAGATACCGCAGGAGAAAACCGGAAAACTAATAACACCCTACACTGAGTGAAATGCGATTCTCCTTCAGTTGAATGATGTACTAATGCGTTCAGAAACTTAAGGTCAATGGAAAAGGTATATTGCGCTGCTTGAAATATACCTCACAAGCTTGTGTGAAGCAACAACACTACCAGAATGTGTACCGAGAACTAAATGTGCATTTCAGTGCGTTATATGCAAACAACTTCTAGTTAATTAGTTACAGATAACACGCATTACTCTACTTGCTTGACTCGCATATACACACACACACACACAAATGTAATTTCACTTGTTCGTTAAGATCCGTAGCCGATTTGCGATTTTTGTGAATTGAAGTGTAAATCGCAAGTGATCGAGATGCAGTTTGCGTTTTAACTTCAAAGTGAGTCGACTTTTTTTTAAAAAAAAGAGGAAAGCTGTTGTTGGTTTACGAGGCGCTAAGCGAATCCTAATGAAGCATGTCAGCCACACGCAAAAATCTCCTCTTCTCACAGCTTTGGCGAATCCACATTCAGCGCTGAGAGACATCTCCCGCTTCTCCAATCCACGACATTTGTGTATTGGGATGTGAGTTGAGACACAGACCACAATAGCCCGAGACAAGGCGCTGTTTACACAACTGGCGTTCTGCATTGGCAAGCAAATGTTAAACTGTACTTAGCAAGTAGTACTGTAACCTTTAGTGTGAAATCGGGATTGCACTTCCACTCAGTGAGAACAGCATGCTGTTGCAAGAAAAAGCACGAGTTTGCATATTCCTTACAAGTCCCTGAAAAATATGTTTGCCTTTTATCCTGATGATTTCAAATATTTTGGACCTGACCATACAAAGGACAACACTCAACGGTAGTTTTCATTGTAAATGCGGAAACACAACCTGGTAACATATATTATTGTGCCGTCTTAAGCCTCGGGTAAAATGGGTCTTAAAAAGTACTGTTGCAAAGAAACAAGTGAATGAAAAGGGGACCAATAAGTCATTTGTATTGCACATACCCGGACTCTAGCTTCAGTTAAATTGGTCCAAACTGCAATCTCCTCTCTGGTGGACATGTCCGGGTAGCGATTTCTCTGAAAAGTTGCCTCCAATTCTTGCAGCTGTTGACTGGTGAAATGAGTCCTCTGCCGTCTCTGTCGCTTCTTCTTGGACGGGTCATCTGTATTTGTGTCGTCGTTTTTGCTTTGCTGGATTTTCTCTTTCTCTGAAACAACAATCAAGAGCGCGTTTATAATCGCAACCAAGTTTATTTCTCCCCCCCCACCCCCCCATTAAACACACACCTGAAAGGGAAAACTCCAGTAACGAGAAACAACTGCAAGATTGCAAAATTCCATTGCACGAAGATATGTTTTTTTTCCCCCCGGAGTTCTGTGGGTCTTACAAATAGGTATTGTAACCGACCCAAGATTAAATAAATAAATAAATAAATAAATGAATTCCAAATAAATCTGTTTACTTCTAAACCGTTTTAATTCGTTAGCAGTCTGTTGTTGCTGATCCTGTGCATGTGTGCGTGTGCGTGTGTGTGTGTGCAGCGCTGCGCAAGGACGAGCGAAAGGGAAACGCGAACCTCGTTTGTACCATTTTGCTGAACTTCCCAACTTGTTCGCACACATTGCACATGTTATTTTTAATGTTAAAAAAGTTCGTCGCTTTTATTGAACTGCGCGAAACATTCTTTCCGAGACGTGCAACCGAAAATTGCGGCCGGATTCACCCAAGGCATTCATTTCGCAGGTGACATTGATATCAATGGTTGTAACTCGTCGATTGACATTTAAAAACGCTTAAATACATTTCGAAATCGGAAGCAATGCAAAAGTCTTCGATGTGCGGAATCCCGAGGCATCGCCTCGAGGCAACTCGGGATAAGTCGTTGCACGATTGCCGATGGCAAAAAGGCACTTCCCGTTTATTTCTGGGGGACGGGACGACGGAGCAATGCGATAAAATAGGGAATTGGCGCAACGCCCGAGACGTGAGTGCAATAAACATCGAAAAAGGCTGATAAATGCAGAAAGGAGGAGGTGGTGGGGGGGGGGGGAGAACGGCCTTACCTCCGGTGTCAGGGCTGGAGGTGTCCGATAAAGTGTGAACCTCGAGCCGGTGCTTGGGCTCACTCGTTCGCAGCGGTTGCAAACCAGAAGCCATGACAGAAGAAGAAGCCGATTGATCCCGGACCAATTTATTACCGCCGCCGCCGCTGCTGCTGCTGCTGCTGCTGCTAAACTGGTCCAAATTCAAAGGATCTTTCGCACAATTCATCTAAAACCGATTGCAACCTGCCCGGGCGTCGCTTTCGATGAGGATTAAAGTTTCCTCGGAACCCGCGTGTGTGTGTGTGTGTGTGTGTGAGTGTGTGAGAGTGCGGGTGAGAGTGCGGGTGTATATGCGGGTGTGCACAAAAAAAAAACCAAACACAAGTCCCCGATTGAGATTGCGATCTGGGAGTGGGCAGAGAGAGTCGGTGCTGGTGGGAAAGGGTGGGTGGGTGGGTGGGTGGGGTGGGGGTGGGGGGGTGGTGATTCCAGGCAGGAGCTGCAGTTGCGCGCTCTCCTCTCGTAAAAATGGTAACGGCTCTCCTTTTTAACGAGTCGCTGTCGGAGCTGCTGCCGCCTTCATGGCAGCCCCCGGCACCCACCCGCCCGCCCGCCCGCCGCTGCTGCTGCTGCTGCTGCACAGCAGGAGAGGGAGGAGGAGGAGGAGGAGGAACCGGCAGAGGGTACAGATGAATGAATTATCCGGGGCTGACAGGACTGTGACGGGGAGTGGTGGGTGGGTGGTGGGTGGGTGTGGGGGGGAGACAGGTAACGAGAAAAAGGATGCTCAAGCCTTGCGGCTGCTGCAAACGAGTCGCCTTGTTTGCCAGTGGCTTTAAGAGCGGAGCTTCCCCCCTGATAACCCCCCCCACCGCCCCCCGCCGCCGCCGCCTCCCCGCCGGCTCCGCCCCTCCGCTGTCACTCACGCCGACTGACACCGCCGCCCCCCCGGCCCCCGCGGTGGCAGAAAAGGGGGCGGTCCGCGAGCCCGCGCTCAGCACGTCACCGCGCCAATCAGAGCCCGGCGGGGCGGGGCTTGGGGTGGGTGGGGGGGGAGGGGCTAGTGTGTCGTCACCCGCGTGCGCGCGCAGCGGACAGAGTGGGCGGAGGAGGAGGAGGAGAGCGGACCCATAATGCACCTGGAAAGATGTCTCTGACTTTCTTGAGTGGACAACAAATGACTTGGGGGCAAAGTGAGTGATGGGTTATTTGCTGAGAGCCACTTTTTAACAACCCCCCCCTCCCCCCCAAAAAAAAATAATATATAATACAAATAAATAATAAACAGCCTATATAAAAAAGCCTGTACTTGTCACATCAAGTGCAGGTCATTCACTCGATGCATTTATAATAATAATAATCCTTGCATTTGATATAGCGCTTTTCACGTCGGGAGGACGTCCCAAAGCGCTTCACGGAACACACTGTAAAGTGAATTGACTGTATATTTGTGGGCGAACGCGGCAGCCAATTGCGCACAGCAATATATTATTAATTGCCCACCTATTTTTTTTTGAGTGTCACTGCGCGTGTTACTGGTGGTCGTGAGAAATGGGTAGAGACCCAGGACTGACTGACTGTCACCACGTAAAGTTGCACTGACTTTACTTCGTCTTTACTTTACTTTACTTTACTTTACTGCACTTCGTCTCGTGCTTTCTCTTCTTTTATTTATTTTTTTGAGACCGTCACCAAAACCCACGATGGGTTATTAAGAAAAAACGCTCTTTGTTTTTTGACGGTTTCCATCAACTCTTAAGTTACATTTTCTTTCTTTTTTTTGCTCATCATCATCATCATCATCTCATCATCATCACAACCAACAACACAAAAAAAACATTTGGCAAAAGTCTGCTCAACGCAGCAAACGTCTTTAACGTTACTTACAAAACAGTCATATCGCTTGACAGAAATTATTGGCGAAGCCTTTGAGATATTTAGTACCTGATGAGGTACTATTAAAAAGCAAGTTCGTGTTTTCCCAACAGGACAGAAAGGGTTTACGAATGCGCAACCTGTCTTGAAAACGCGATTCGTAAAATGTTGTGAAGCAACACAAAACACTTTCGGTCAGTCCACTGATGTTTGCGCAAGTTACGTGTTAATTGATCTTGTTTTCGGAAGTTTCGAAACTCATACAGATATGCAAAGTCAAGCAGAGCGACAGTCTGTCTCAACGTTGATGAAAGAAACATGAACATTCAGCAGCAATTCGGAGAAATGTTAAGAAATTAAAACTTGTATAACAGTGGGGGGTGGTTTGGGTGGAAAATGCACTAAGGCGTTTTCTTCACGTCAATTTTGAACCATGATTCGAAAGATGTTCGCTAAATCATGTAAGTTTCCGTTGAAAAATCTCCAAAGAGCTATTTTCAAATGCATGTTAATGCTATTTGATGGTCAAGTCTAATTGTTGCAAAAAAAAATAGAAGAAACGAGCAGGGATGATGTTACATGGATAAATATATTGCAGGAGGTTACGTTGACATTTCAGAGGGATGGATGGTTTTTAGTAACGCGGTGTTAAATCAATACAAAGACCAAGGACAAGAATTTTTAAACACTATTTTACGAAGCAAAGCCTTCCTACGTGTATCTAGTAAGTTTAAACGTTGGATATGGTTCATAGTTTGAATGACATTTTCAATGTCCACCACATAATGCTAAATATATAATGTTGTTTTTCGGTAAATACCATTAGAAAGCTGAAAGCTAAAATTGAACTTGCAAAATGACGAAGCAATAATCGCTAACATTGCATTTCCATTTCCAATCCTTTCGTATTCTTCCTGCAAATATGGTGCGAGTTTAAAATGCGGGTTATGTCCTGCGGTGCGGTGTTTAAAATTTACCAGAAAAAAATGAACGCGTTCTCAGTTGGTTTCGCGAACAGAAATCCAATATTGTTGGATTCCCAGCAACAGCGCCGTTTTTTTCTCACTCTACATTTGACGGGACAGGAGATGTGAATAAAACAAGCCAAGGCGACACATTCTGATCGATTCGATCCGGTGGTAGTTCTTTAAACACGTTTTGATTCAATAAGCAAAGCAGATCAACGCCAGCTGCAAAATGTAAAGTCAGAAAGCTTTTTTTTTTCTCGGGTCTGATTAACCTGACTGGTGAACACTGGTGACGAGGCTAATAAGGAAGGATTTGCAGTGACACGGGGTCTGACATTTACTTCTCTCGGTATTCCGACATCAGTGTTTACCGTTTCACCCAAGATGCGCAAACTACAGAAAGCAGTGATAAAATACGCGGCTGCATCCTCTCCTGTCCAAGATCCCGACTCTCTAATCGGTATTCTGCTCGTTAATGGCATCTACACCTGAGATTTCACAGAACCACGGCGTTATGATGGAGAGGACGGGACTTAAATTTGTAGTGGTTTTTAATCTGATAAGACTCTAATTTGCTTAAGTCTTTTAAACAGGGTTTAAACGGGGTTCTGGCAGTTTTCTTATTGAATTTCTTCTAATTCCCCAATGATCATAAAGTACTGACGCAAAGTAAATATTTCCTTTCCCGGGTGTTGGATGTGACCTGGGGAGGAAATCAGTGTGAACCCGGGAACCTTTTCTATAAACCCCTGAGCCTCGCTGGGGATTGCTTTGCCATTTTATCCTCGGATTTTTCACAGCACCTTTGAATGCAATTGACTACGATTTACACACACAAAAAAATCAAGTGGCTTTAAAGAGCTCCGCAGCTCAGATGGGGATCAGAACAACACATTTTAGTTCATTTTTACTCCAAGACGAAAGGCGCAATTTTTGGGGGGGAGATAGCCGCGATTTTTTTTCGGGGTTTTATTTCTCATTTCCCTCAAGAACGAACCCCCCCCTCACACACACACACACACACACACACACACAAATATTTTATTTTGTGAACTTTGTCAAGTAAGTGTTGGAACGGGCGCTGTGGTGGGAAACGGTGACACTGTTTCCATAATTTCCATAATTGCGCTTTGGCCTTTTATTTTTTAAACGCTCTGAGACGATTTTGCGCATTTCATGATCCGCTATCCTCGCAATTTAAAAATCGTATTTTTTTGAAAAAAAAGTGTTATTGTCGTCGCTGCCTGGCATCAGTCAATCAATTAAACTGCAGGCCATCGTAAATTTTAATGGTCATTATTGCATTAGCTTCCATGAAGTGGTTTGGCTAGTTTATTACCTTTACATTTTGGGCTAGGATTTATGCTGGTTGAACCTTACTTGCGAATATCAATCTTGCTTAGAAACGTCTATTTAACTGATTTAAAAAAAATCAGTAACCGCGACCTCATCGCTGTGNTTTTTTATATATCGTTGTTGCNTTTTTTTGGAAGCTCAATCTTGCAAGACAACTTTAATGGGGGAAGAAATTCTTTGGGGGGAAAACAAGGCATCGTGTTGATGTTGACATTTTAAGGAGAGCTGGATATATCGTAGAGACGCCGCATTTAGAAATTTGACAGAACTTGCTATCACCTCCCTGAGTTCATCAACCTGAAGCTGGAAATGACATACATCTTGCACGGAAATACGAACTATTTGACCCTTTCTGCATCTGTGCGTCAATAGATAAGCAAGGATTCACCGACCCTCGGGCATTTATTCGTTGGAAGTATAAAGTTTCGACATCCTTTTAAAAGATTTCACATGGTTAATCCAACCCTTTTTTTAAAAAAATTCATCCAGTAATCAATCGTCGTGCCACCTTTTAAATACACATTCATCTGTGACATTTACGTAGTAGTTATTTGTGTTTTTTCCCCATTCGTATGTTTAGCCTATTGCATGCATATATCCTGCTTTGGGTTGATTCAAGGGCGGCGGTAATTTGGGAACACGGCTCCTACCTGTGAGCACAATGAACGATTGCAAATTCACACCATCCAATCCCTCAGCACTTACTTTGCAATTTCCAGGTCAGGCCCCTTCCTCTGAAGGATATCAACCACTTTCAGTCCAGATTACAGAGCACCGCTTTATCTTGTCAGGACTTGTGTGTTTTAAAACATTTTTTTACAAAATAAAAAAATAGTCTGTGCTGGGTTCAGATCAGGGTTGGGTTGCTTGTCCCAGTTGAGGGACAGTAATCGAACCGAGTATTACTGTTGTCATGGGGAATGTTACTACAATAATCTTTATGCAGTGAGTCGCTGTTTATTACCTGGTGGCTTTCATCTGTTCTTTCACAATGCAACGAAACAACGCCCATTTCTCCCCAAAGCACCAAGATGTGCATCGTGCATGTTTCACCGAAGGTGGGAAGGTGCAGGCACCCACCCATCCATTCCGTTTGATTAAAGGTCTACTAGTTTTGTGCTGAAAAATTGGGCCGCTAACATTCAGCATTAGTTGCTATGGTTACCGTAAATCACATAAATCCCACCAAAAAGACCTATAATCTAAGTCGAAGCTTTGATTTCCCTGGTG